GCATGGTGTCTGGTTGTTATTTTGGCCTTTAGAAAACCTTGACCGAGCCCTTGTTCGAAAATGGTATCAGAGCTTTAGTTTAGCACCTTAATAATATAGTTATACTTGTAAAGTACCTTGAGGACAGAAGTCAATCAACACAACTGATAAAAACCAACGTTTTATAACCTGTTAAAATTTTGTTACCAGAATCACTAGTTAAAAACAGTAAACCGTTTGCATGTTTGGCCCTTGGTGGACATCTATTAGAATAAAAGAAAGGTTGCAGGAATTAAAGAAAAGGAAAGTAGAATACCAAAAAGAAATTAGGAATCTAGAAGAATTAATAAGATCACCAGAAGTAGGTAATTATCCTAGAAGAAAATTAGAAGTACAGAATAGCATAGCAAGAAATCAGTACCATTTAGAAGTCTGTAAAGAATCCATAGAAGCTTTTCAAGAACATTTAGACATCTTAAAAGAAAAAGGTAGACTTAGATAAAAAATTTATGATAGAATACCTCAATTTAGAAATCAGTGAACAACAAAAGAAAAAATTAACTCTAGATAATAATACATTAGTTTGTTATTTTCCACAAAAAGAACACAAACATCTATTACATAGTAGTAGTAATCCCTTAGAAAATAGTATTATTGACCTTTTGATTAGTCAAGCAGAGAGTGTAAAATTTGAACACACCAAAAATAATAGAATAATTCAACAGTTACTAGAATATTTTCAAAAAAATTCCTTAAAAACAATTAGACAAAACTTAGACTATATAACATCCCAATTAGAAGATAATAATAGGAATATCCAAAGATTTCCTAGTAAGAAAGAAATAAAAGAACTCATAGATCTTATAGATAGTAAGCCAAAACAAATAGAACTCCAGTCATTAGAAATTATTGAACAGTTAAAATTAGAAGTGCAAAAAATACAATTAGTACAAAAAACATTAACTGAACAAGTAGAAAAGTTACATAGTAAAATAGATAGACTTTTAGTTTGATGACATATTCTAAAATTAATAATAAATATATAAAAGCATTAGAAGAAGTTAGTCAACTAGATAAGGAACCAGTAGGTCTCACAGAATTTACAACATCTGTAGCAAGTAGTAATATCCCTATTAGACAAAATAATTTACTTATCCAATTAATTTTAAATTTAGCCAAAAAAGTAGATCAATTAGAAGAACAAATAACAGAAATTAATCAAGTAGTACACAATACCACTTCTACACTACCCAAAGACTTAGTTGATAAATTAGAAAACTTAACCTTAGGAAATAATCCTCATAGAAGAAAAAGTAGAATAAATCCATTTGATAATAGTAAATGGAACTCTTTAGAAGAAAAGGAAAAGAAATAGTTAGAACAGAAGATA